GCTCTATGAGGTGCAGAGTTGTGCAATATATTCAGTGAAGCTGAGACAAGACAGGTTCTATTGAGAACCCCCTCCCCAGTCCCACAAACGCAAGGTAAGGCCATTTTTTGACTGAATTAGAAGCCATTAAACATTTATCAGAAAATGAAACCCTGTTACTCAGAACTGTGGAGAGATCCTAAGTTCAATTCCTTCTCCCACCAAAAATGTCTCTTATGTAAAAAGGAATGTATGTCATTTAATCCAATCATATAACATTTAAGCATTAGGCTGGGTTATAAGGAATTTTCAGAAAATGGAGAGCTCCTTCTCAGCCCGTCATATCCCTGAGGTGTATCTTGCTCAGAATGGAATGAACTTCAACAGTGAGTACATTTTATCAATGCAGACATAATATGCTCAAAGTACATTTATTATGAAGCTCTTAAATTTGATTTCCATATTTTATTTTCAATACTTTCTTGTAATTTTCATGACTACATAGGCCCCCATATTTGAAATGTCTGCATTAAAGGTTCTAATGCCTTCTTAATGATGGCACTTGGTTAATTTGCAGACCTATGAGATCATATGAGTCCTATTGACAATTCAAAAGACAATAATTTGAGGAACTTAGATTTTATAAATCAATCCAAGCTCTTAAGACTGAGAACATGGAATAAAGATGAAGTTATCCATAGTGATATCGATTGTATGATCTTTATTATATTTTAATCCATCAATCCAAAATTCACACACATCAGATCAAACAGGAGTACCACAGTATTTATTTTGTAGGTATTAATTAGTTTACTATATTGATATATACAAAACTTTAGGTAGCAGCAGGCATCAGTTCTTCCAAAGAAGCTTAGGTAAAAACAATTCTTTATGAGTTCAAAGTCCTACTATTTGACCCCCCTGTTGTACTGACAATAAAAATGAACTCAGTGAGCAAAGCTTATTGAACACTCAGTTCATAGATTTTGGGTTTCCTGTATTTTATTGGAGTTGAAGCAGTTATTGTTTGAACCCTCTGTTAATATTTTATATTTCAATTAATCTCAATTCTCAAAGAAGAATTAAAACATGTTTGCTAATTATCTAAGATAAAACCATGATACCCAATGAAGAATTAGTGATGTCAGTCTCCTACCCCAAAAGTAGAAAACTTTTAAATGAACCCATAATTTTGAATGTATCTGAATTTTCCAATCCATATACCTAGCAAGGTCACAAGCTGATTTAAATAATCTGGCTTTTAGACAATCATCTCAAAAATATTTTTTGAAACGAAGCCACTGTTCTTTATGATGCCATCATTTTGACCAAATAACAAATAAGCAATTGTTTTCAAAGGAGAACATTTTAAAAGGAAACATTCTTTATATACTTAGCAAAGAGAGGAGAGCTTGAGTCTACAAGTCAGAACCAGAGAGTTCTAAGGGAAATGTAGTTGAGCAATCTATTTCTACTCCAGTTTGGAATATATGCTTTTGAGATGCACTGTATATAAAGATAGTAAAGAAAGATGTTGATGAATTTTCTTTTTTTTAAAAAAAAAACAAAAATTTCCAATTTCACTTATCGGCAAAGAGTTCTGGCATCAGTTAATGGCAGCAATACAGTGGTGATCATCTGCATTGTGCTAAGAGGTAGATGGGGACCTAATGCTTGGACGTAATAACTAACTTTATTTAAGGTTTAGGCTTAATTTTTTAATCCAAGAAACATTTTAAAATTTATTTATTTTTGGCTGTGTTGGGTCTTTGTTGCTGCGCACAGGCCTTCTCTAGTTGCGGCGAGTGGGAGCTACTCTTCTTGAGGTGCGGTAGCTTCTCTTGTTGTGGAGTACAGGCTCTAAGCACATGGGCTTCAGTAGTTGTGGCTCGCGGGCTCTAGAGCGCAGGCTCAGTAGTTGTGGCCCACGGGCTTAGTTGCTCTGCGGCATGTGGGATCTTCACGGACCAGGGCTCGAACCCATGTTCCCTGCATTGGCAGGTGGATTCTTAACCACCGCGCCACCAGGGAAGTCCCAATCCAAGGAACATTTTTAAAGTGAAGGCAGATCTTTGGAAAACTTTTCTTTTTTAGTTATATAGAGATAAAATAGTTTGATAAAATAAACATCTGCCTTATGCTAATAACAGGAGTGCAAAGCAGCCATTTGGACACTAGAGAAATACAACAGTGTGCTTCCAAATCAAAGGACAATTCAATAGCCTAGCCAATCAAGCAGACACTGGGAGGAGTGGCCTCTAGTACCTTACTCCAGTAGCCAGAGCCATTAGAGGTCCCTACAGGGATATAAGTCTGTATCAAGATCAACAAATTTACAGAACAATCCTGGTCCAGCTCTGGCCAGGCAGCCATCTGACTGATGATACTTCAGGGCCCACTAGCCTCTAAAGTTAGCACATGCTGCTGTGAGAAAAAAGGAACCAATACATTAAAATTATCAATTAGAACTTATTCATACAGGGAATGAGAGAGTATAGGAGGCACACAAAATAGAGAAGCTTTGTTTTGTTTTTATAGTGGAAGATGAATTAACTTTGTGAACAAGTTAAGGCTGTAAGGGAAAAAAAATTCTAAATCATAACTCTAAAAAGAAAATAAGCCTTTCTGTATCAACACCTTAAAAAAAAACGCCATAGATCTTACTTCATCCTTCAGCACAAATGGAAAGTCTGAGGTAATCAATATATTCCAAACTCCAGTAGGAAAAAAAAAAAGACACCCCTGTTTGTTTGGGGTTTTTAAAAAATATTTATTTATTTATTTTGGCTGCACCGAGTCTCAGTTGCGACATCCTTGTTAAAATATAGTAGCCACTAACAGTAATAAAGAAAACAGCCGGACTTTTGCTATTAAATACAATATTATGAAGACATTCCTTTCTTTCTTTCTTTTTAACTAGCAGGAATATTAAATCAGAATTTAAATAATCTTGTTTAGGCGGTGGGGAATCTAAGTCTTATTACAAACCAAATTTTATGTTTGCCACCAATGAAAACGAATTCACTATGTTCTTGAATTTATTTCCTGAAGCAAGTTAAATTCTCTAACAGCTTTGATTTTGCAAATAATGTCAAAGAGGCAAAGTACAAGTAACTGCAACATATAAAATTATACTTCAGTAGAAATGCTTTCATAATTGGATCCAGAGGCTTAGAATCATTATTCACTAAAAAAAACATATTCTAAGCCACAATTCTTCTTTCAATTACACTTTTACAAAGGAAGAAAAAAATAGGAAAAAAAAAGAAGAAATTGGTCCTAATAGTGCTACTCATGCCCAAGTTAGCTAGCAACTCACTGAGGTGAATCTGCATATCTCAAACAATCAATTGCACAGCATCTCCTGGCTCTTTAGCCAATGGAAAACATAACTTCTAATGGCAAAAAAAAAACCCCAAAAAGCACTAGATTTAACTGATTACACAGACTGATAACCAGTACGACTTTTCCTTCTTCCAATCATATAAGAGATAAAGACAACAATTATAAGGAAGCCCAAGGCCACACCCACTGCAACAGGAATAAGAAAGTTGAGGTCAGAGTCAGCAGAACATTCTTCAGCTGTTAGAAAAGAACAGACAGAAAGCAAGGAAAGGAAATTAGTAAGGAATGCAATTAAGCAGAAACAAGAAAACAAGAAACAAGCATTTTGAAAGAGTACATAGGTTAGTCTTTTAGAGCATTACCCTTATTTTCTTATTTTCACTATGTCCACCCAAGTATTTCCAAGCAACTGATCCTCCTGTATCTCTCACTGTCACTTCATCTCAAATCACACCTAATTCCTCAGTACAAAAAGCAGAAGTTAAGGGAAGAATGGGAAAGGGTCCAAAACAAAGAATTGTGCTTGCCTAATATGGGAAGATTTTACGTTGAATTGTCTAATGGCACTGCAGGGAAAGAGCAGCACTGCGGGGAAAGGGCAGCACTGCGGGAATCTTCACTTAAAACCACTACCTGCGTGTTTCCCCACTCCCTTTCTCCCTGCCACAGCTATCGTGAAAATACAAATAAGAATTCTGTATGAGTAATAACATCTAAGTTAAAAAGGACTCATTATCAAGAAAATGCAGTATAATTTTTTTCATACAAGCATTAGGTAGCTATCAGGTTATATGTAATTATTTTTAGCTGAGCAGTGGCCTGGAAGAATAATAGCAGAGTCCAATGGACATTGCAGTCCACTCCACTGGACCACCAGGAAGGCGGTGTGCACATGCAATGTAGATTCTGAGCTCTGGACTGAGGCAGAACTGAGGTTGAATCTTGATTCCTTCAATTACTAGCTAAAGGACCTTGGTCAAGTAATTTAAACTGGGCCTCACTTTCCTCATCTGTAAAAGGGGGAGAAGAATACCTATATTATAAGGTATCTGAGGATTAAATGATATTTCTAAAGTATATGATACACATCAGGAGGTCAACAAGTGTTCATTCCCTTCTCTTTTCCTCCCATGTTTGTGATCCCATCCAAGGAGGTTTAGGCTTTGAAGTAGCAAACAGAGGTCAAAATAGGAGCCATTGAAAAAGCCAATATTCCGTACTTTTAAAAATACTTAAGCAAACAAAGTTGGTATCATGTGTCATTTATTGAAATTAGTTAGTACAGAAACTCAAAGTGCCCACTTCTGATCTCCCAGTTTCAAGTTTAAACTATTCTTACTATTGAGTGACTAGACTTCATTGGGACAATTTTTAATCAAAATGCTAATAATGGTTTTGTTGCCCGCTAGATATGTAACCTCAGTGACGTCACTCCTTTTTCTGAAAAAATTATGGGGTTATGATAAGGAATCTTTAAGGTCCTTTCCAGTATAAGTCTAATGTAATTAACAAAATGTGATACTGGGTGTGATTTATGATTGAATAATAACTTGCATTTTTCCTCTAATTTTATCTCTTCCTCCTCCTGCACTTTTGTCATTCATAAAAAATTGCTGCTGAGGTTCTGGGTATATAGAACAGATTTTAGTAATGACATTAGCTTTTATTAAAAAGATTTACTGTATTTTACTGAAAGCCTTCAGAGACTGATAGCTGGATACCAAAATGCTGTAATCAGTGAATTACAAAAATTCTGAACAAGCCAATATAGACACAGAATGAATTAATAAAATAATCACTTCCATGTGAAATTCTCGAGTCTACTGATTAAGCTTCCTTCTTATTTGTCTATACATTCAATATCTGTGCTGCACTTCTAACATGGAGCGTGCTTCAACTGGGGCTGAATATCTAGCTCATTTTCATGCCAACAGCTTCTGTCTACACCCCATCTATGCTCTGCCCCACAGGGGGCCGTCTTGGAAAAGGCAGGAGCCGAGTTGCTGCTTTGCTTCACTGCCTCCCTTCTGAGATTGCTGCTGCTTACAGCTCATAAGTACCAGTCTGATGACAACACTAAATAGATTTTAATGCTCTAGAGACCAACAAGATGAGGTAGAGAAACACAACACAATCTCTCCTAATTAGTTCATAGAATATTTCTGTCTTGCAATGCTAATCAGGCATCCAAGGAAGAGAGAAACATTTTTTAAAAGGCAAGTGGTTAAATATGCTTGAATCCTTTCTGTCTATTATTGCTGAAAAAGAAAGTTTTTTGAAAACTCTAATTCTGAAGCCAGTTGAAGCTCTGTTGCAGCCTCTTGGGTCTGTTTTTTACCTAGGGAAAAATCACAAGCCAAAGATACTGACTTCATCTTCAAAGAAAGTCACATAACCTAAAAAATACTGATGGTCCTGAGGACATTCAACTGAAAACCAAGCTTAAGCATCTGATGGGCATTTATGCCACATCAACATTTATTTAATGAACTATATGCAAAGGCACTGCGATGAGCTTAAATCAGGATAATTCTTATACACTGAAACAGAACATCGGTAGTGAAACAATATTTATTAATTCCATTAGGAGACAACTACATATTTTATCTTCATAATGGCCATGTTAATAAGTTTAAGGCATCTTGAGTTAGAATCAAAATGTGGCCAAGGCTTCTTAAGATAGACCTTAAAACACTGCACACCGATGTTCTTTTCAACAAGTTTGTCTTCAGGACCAGTAAATACAACATTTTTAAAAAAATTTATGCTGTTCTATTAACGGTTTTTATTAATAAAGAATTATCTCAAAATGCTGGGACTGATTTAAGAATTAAAGTTTCAATATATCAATCTAAAAGAACAAAGTATTTCAAAACTGAAAGGGAAGAAAATCTTGTTATGTGCATGTATTTTTATATAATCAATCAGACTGCAGGTTCTAAAATTGCTCATATCCAGCATGATGGCGCTTGAGACCAATAAAGTAAGCCAGCAACACTAGAATAAGCACTCCTGCCAAGGCTGCTCCCACCGCTATGGGCACAAGGAAGTTGTCGTCATCTGCACTGCAGTCTTGAGCTAGATGTGGAGAAAGCACAATTGAGAACAGAAACAGTGACAAAATTTCAGATCTGTACATTTTAAGTTAAAATGACAGTACTTCCCAACACACATATTTGTTTTTTACACCAAGGCAACAAGTCCTTGGAATTCATCACCAGCAAATGAGATGTTCCACAAAAGTGATTTTCCAAATAACCAAATCATATACTTTTAAGTACCCCCAAAAATGCAGTCATTTTGGATAAAAGATATATAAAATGATCACATACTTCACAGATTTTTCAAATGGAAGATAATGGATAAATATAATTAGCCTTTCCTTGATGATCAGGCTGTGAGCTTTCAGAGGCAAACTGTTATGATTTTGAAGAATCACAGTGCCTGGAACACTGCAGATTGGGAAGTATTAATGAAATGAACCAAATGAACAACTATATAAAGCAGATGTAAGAACTCAATGCATAGGAATATGGGGCCATTTAGTAGTAAGAAAAAGTATAAACTGGCCCTGATTGCATAACTGTTTGCCTCAAGATTTCAGTCTGGTGTAGGAGTCAGATAAGAAAACCAGCGGTTATAATTTCAAAATGTGCTGTAATAGGGGCAGGGAACACACACTGTCATCGAAATATTTCAGAGGCACACTCAACTCAGCCTTGTTACACAAGACACAGTTTGAAAGAGGTGACACCAGAGCTGAAGTTTTAAGAATGAGTAGGAATTAACCATGCAGGTAATGGGTGAAGGGCGTTCCAGGTATAGAAAGCAGCACAGACAAAACTATGGAGGGTAAGAAAACATAGCACTTCGGGTGAAATGCAAGCAGGTTGGCATAGCTAGAACAATGGATTAAGAGGTACTCTTGGGGCTTCCCTGGTGGCGCAGGGGTTGAGAGTCCGCCTGCCGATGCAGGGGACACGGGTTCGTGCCCCGGTCCGGGAAGATCCCACATGTCGCGGAGCGGCTGGGCCCGTGAGCCGTGGCCGCTGGGCCTGCGCGTCCGGAGCCTGCGCTCCGCAGCGGGAGAGGCCACAACAGCGAGAGGCCCGCGTGCCGCAAAAATAAAATAAAATAAATAAAAGAGGTACTCTTGGAAAAGAGGTGGAAAACGGTACTAGGATCAGCTCACAAAGGCACCGTATGCTCTAGGTAGTTTGGCCTTATACTGATGGCCCCCCCCAAAAAAAATTTATGCAGAATTTTAAGCAGGATATTTGTTTCAGAAGTTATGGCAGATGGAAGACTGGAGGCATTAAGTTAGGAAGCAACTCTACTGCTAGAAGCCAGATGACCAATAATATGGTCCTGAACTTGGTTAATGAAGTGCAGATGCAGAAGGGATGGATTAGAGATCCAATTAGAAGACAGAACTGACCAAACAGATGTAGGAGGAGACAATATTGTAGAATGGCTTCCAATCCCATGATTAGGTAGACACTGGTGCCATTCATTGTGATAGGGAATACAGGGGGAATATATGCATTTCAGTTTTATTTGTAGCTATTTTTGTGTGGGTTTTTTTCAATTCAATTTTTAAAATTTGCGTGTCGGGGGAGGGTAGAGAGGGATATGTGGAAGAGGTAGCATTCTGTTTTAGATCTGCTGAGTTTAAGATACCCATGTCCTAACCAAGTGGTTGACGTGACAGTTCAAACCAGGGACAAAGATATTTCTCAGCAAGGGCAGATAAGAGTAATAAGAGGGTCAGAGACAAGACCCTTGGGAACACCAATATTTGAAGTATAAAGGAGCAGGAAAAAGTAGGAAAGGCAGGTAGAAAATGGTGCCACAGAAGCCAAGGAAGGAAACAGTTTCAATTATCATGGGAGAACAGTGTAAATTATTAGAGACGCCTGAGAAATGTCCACTGGATGTAGCAATACGGAGGGTGGGGGCTAGGCGTCAAATTGTTGCAGGTTTAGGAGTGAATGGGAAGTGATTGACTGGTTAGGAGATCAAGAACTTGGGATGGGGAACACACAGTACTCGTTATGAGACGTTTAGAAGAAAGGTAGGTAGTTAGAAGGGGGACACAGGGTCAAGAAAGGATACCTTCAGGGTGGAAGAGACTTGTGGTTACAGGATGAGGGAAAGA